TTGCTACACAAAGTTGTTACCAGGAAATGCCTTCCACTTTTCTCAAGATTTCTTTATTTTCCTGACAGTGCACAGGGTCAGGAGGCAGCTGGAGTTTGCAGCAGGAGAGGAACTGATCAGTCTGAAACATAAAGCAGTAGGGCAGGGCCCACTGGAAGTATCAGTTTAGGGCTGGTCAGATTAGGAGGAAACTGTTTAAAGAAGAAATTATGATTTAAAAAGGGGAAAAGAAAAATCAAGTTCACTACCCAGGAATCAAGTTTGGATGGATCCCTCTGAGAGGAAGTCAGTGATGCTGAGGAAATTCTGCCCTGGAATATGAAGCGAGGAAAGCACAGCAGTAGGTCTGGGGCAAAAAGAGATGTTCCCTGCTAAGTTCCTGCTTGCTGTGCTCTTGTGTGACCTTAGCTGGCATCAGCAAAGCAGTGCTGAATTGGCTGTGCAAATTCTGGAGCAACAGAAAGAGAAGGCATAAATAAGGAGATATGTTGAAAAGTGTCATCAGAGCCTCCACAGGAAGCCCTAGAAGAGCCAGAATGGGAACATACACAATGCTTATTTTCAGCTTGTGTTTGTAGCTCCACAGAGGAATCATCGATCAAGAACAGCTGCCTTTCCTGACAGTGCTAGGGAGTGGTGTTGTAGGTGGAGCTCTGTAAACAGAACTTTGATCCTATTTAGTACCTGTAGAACAGACCTGCTTAGTTACGATACACAAGAAACCTGGTTGTTCTAGCAAGTACTGGAACACAAACCTCCAGTCAGGTTTTTTTATTCATGTGGGTTTAAGTTTGTTGTTATTAATTATCACTAGTCAGTTTTTACTCTGTGCAGTAGGTCCTTAAACAGTGATTGTTGACAGTTTATACTGTGCCAGAACTTTACAATTGGCTGAAACAGCTAAAAAAATTGCTCTGTATGGAGCAGAAGTAATTTTATAATCTCTCAAATAACTAGTTTCAGTTCTTTGTCTTTCAGTTTGGCTTTTTTTAAAAGCCAATGATAACAAAAAGCAACCATCCCCCAACCATTTTTTCTTAAAGGAAAGGGATATGAAACCTTATATCCGTCTTGGAAAAGTTATGACAAACTGGAAATGTTATGAAAGCATTAAATACGCCAACTAGACAAAACCATGATATTCAGAGACAAGTTTTGTGGAATAAAAGGAAATATTGCTAAAGACAGTATACAGACAATGTGTGTAACTCTTGCTGACTTTGGTGGGTCAGCTGAGACGCTGGCCTTACCCTCTCTCTTATATTGATAGTCTCAGCTAACATCTCCCTTGGTAACAGTAGCAGGTGACTTTGATGTGCTTTTCTCAAGTGACCAAACTGGGAACACTGGAGATTGAAAATGGACAATAGCACAGCATGGAATTACACCCCAAACCTTAATGCACCTTAAATCAGTAGTTTCATTCCTAACTATCCATTGTCCAGACTGAATATCACTAAAGTGTGTGTAGTCATAGATAAATCCAAGTTTAGGAGGATTTATAATCTTGTCAGTTGTAGATTAAAAGCTCTGTTCTGTATCTGCAGCTCTATAAGTGACCACAATGAAGAGTGATGATGGCAACTGTCAGTGATCCGTTGAAGGATATTGGAAGAAGAACATTATTCAAAGTGTTTCTCTCATTCAGCATTATTTTTTCCACCAGTTGATTAACTGTTTTCACTCAAACTGCAGAGCCCTAGGGTATGGTGCCAGCTAAATCTCATATATAAGCTATCTGGAGCTAAATGTCACCTGCATGGAGCTGGCATCTTAATCCAACTCTGTTCTGCAGTCCTCACCATCAACTTTCTGTGGTTGTGTAAGAACAGGTACCCAAGCTACCCGAACAGGTACCCAAGCTACCCAAACAGCTGTTATTCAGCAAAACCTCTTTCAAAGTGATACTGCTGCAAAACGGTGCCAAAGGCGTCAGGGCTCTTAAGTTCTCCCCTAATCAAAAGAGGGACTCTGGCATCTGCCATTTGGGAGGAGTTGATTCCACTGATAGGCTCTCCATTGAGAAATGTGTGGGGTAACATTGACACTCTGTGGCCAGCCAGATAAAATGCAGTCTCTGGATTTTCACAGGTTTTTTTTGCTTTCATCCATTTCACCATGTAGTAAAAATCAGTTTGTAGCTTTCATTCTTGTTGATAATTTCCAGTATCTTTTCAATAACTTTCCTTTATTATTATAAAAATGTCCTAAACATGTAAGCTAAGATAAAAACTAGAAACAAATGATTAAACCTTGTATCCGGAATCCCTGAGTCTGAGGAGCACTCAGTGAGACTCCACTGTTGTTTTGGAACTTAGCAAGTTGTAGGAAGTACATTTTCAGGTCCATGCTTACATCACTGTCATTTTAATCACATATTTTGTTTTCCTGTGGAACTGGAATGAAGGAAGGCCCCTTAAGGGGAGCTGGATTTGTATATTGCAATTTCCTCCTGTCTAATCTGGAGAGGGGAGCTTTGTCAGTATACCTCCAAGCTATAATTTTTACTTCCCGTAGAAGTAACAGATATTACCTGTATTATACATAGTGCAGGTAGGCAGTGTGGTTAAGCACCATTCAATAGCCCCTGTAGGTGTTCTTCTTGATTGCAACTGAAGGAATAGTAAAAGAAAATGAAAAAAAAAAAAACCAGTCGTTGGTTCATAGCTCTTACATTCAACAGGTGGAGGAGCGAATACTAAGATATGTGAGAGGATGGTTTTGGCACACATAACTTTTGTAGATGTACCCATTTTTTGCTCTTATTTTGCTTTTCAACTAGAAACATTAAGAATAATGGTAGAATTGTAATTAAGGCATTTCAGGCTAGTCAGAGCTGTATCTTAACTAGTTTATAATGTGAAAACAGCATGTATGCAGTATTGAGCATAGTTCCAACCCCCTGCCACGGGCAGGGACACCTCCCACTAGACCAGGTTGCTCAAAGCCCCATCCAACCTGGCCTTGAACACTGCCAGGGATGGGACAGCCACAGCTTCTGTGGGCAACCTGTGCCAGGGCCTCACCGTCTTCATAATAAAACATGTCTTCTTTATATCCAGTAGAAACTTCTCACAGTTTAAAGTCTCTTCCTTTCTCCCGTCTGTGCCTCTGGTGTGAGGGCAGAGTGCTTTGACAATGAATATAGTGATCAAGACAAAATTCCAGTTACTGGAATAATTAGGGCATGAGGAGGAGGGGGATTCAGTACTAGTCCTGGTTATTGCTGTTTGTGATGAGTATCGAGGATACAGGGGGATGCATGCCTAACAAACAGAAACAAATAAATTGCCTGTAATTCTATGAAACTGTGAACGTTAGCGACCACTGGCTTTGCTCCTGTAAATTCAGAGACATGAAACATGAGGCAAGAACATTAGTTCCACCCATGTAAGACATTGCTAGGGTAGGGGCTGTCCTCGTGTCTGAACACAGTTTCTGAATTATTTAGCATATGGTCTTTCTGCTCCAGCAAGAGACTCACTCAGAGCTCATCTTGGCTGCTTTTAGTTTCTTTTCTTTTGTTCTTTCTTAAACAGACTTGTAATTGCTCCTGTGTATTATTTACTGGAAGTACTATACTTTTATAACATAGCTGTGAGTGGAGCAGAGTCTATAGGCACAAATTGCACCCGATATTCAGGATAATTTTCAGGAAGAAAGAAAATAGGCTGCAATTCAACACATGGAGTATGAGAATGTAAAAAAACTCAAAGACTATAGAGTTGCCTCTATTTTCCCATGAATTTCTCTATTCCGTGCCATAGAAAACCTAAAAGCAAATTTCAGTAAAACTGTACCCTGGTTGCAATCTTTATTCTGTCTTTATTTCTTCTTTATATTTTATATCTTTTTAACAGAAGCAGCATGCTTCTGTAGCCTGTTAGAGAATGATGCAATAAAGACTCCATCACATCATATTTCAAATACTCAATTATTCATCACATGGTAGAATCTCCAACCTTGCTTCCTGTATCTATGTTTTAGTTTACATAAAAGAAATTACGGTGCTAAGAATGTTGGGTCAGGTGTAACACTGGTTACACAGCCACCTGTCAAGCCTCAGAGAAGATGAGAAGTAGCAAAGGCAGGAGAAACATGAAAAGATCAAGAGACAATTCACTTGGCCTATTGGTACATAAAAAATACTAACTGTGTTAACCTTATAGTACAATGCAGTATGGGCAGGCAGGTTTTCCCAGAATGGAGAACAAGCAGGTTAAGGAGCCAGACAATGTAACTTAATGTAAAAAATGAAGAACACGGACAAGTGGGTAATCCTTGAGCAGAAGCACACACTTCAGAATATACAAGGAGTCCTCTGAAGGGCTACGATGTGCTATGTGCTGCAGTTATTGTTTTTTACTCCTATTTAGAGAGTCTCCTGCCCTTTTTGCACTTATAGACTGGTTTTAGAAAAAATCACACGCAGACGAACAGTGCGTGATGTATCACATGTGTGGTGGTGCATTTATGCTGTTAGCTTACTTTGCAACAACTGCTGTAAATAAACATTAGCTTTTGAACTAACCAAAAGCCTGACAATGGGAACATAAGTGATGTGAGTGATAGGATCAAATGAACCCTGATGAAGTTTGCCAGTGATCACAAGACCATGTTGGATGGGGCTTTGAGCAATCTGGTGTAGTGGAAGTGTCTCTGCCTGTGGCAGAGGGGTTTGAACTATATGAGCTTTAAGTTCCCTTTCAGCTGAATCCATTCTAACTCGAGGTCCTTTCAAAGGAGGCTGGAGAACAGCTCTGTGTTAACGCTATGACATGAGATCTGCAGCTGCTTTCAGTTCTGCATGACTCTGAGCAGCCTTTTAGGAACAAACCCCAACCAATAGAGAAGGTAAATACCAGCTTTGCTGGGACTCTGCCTGGTGCTGCTCTTGCAGAAGTGACTCTGGGAGCCGTTTCAGCAGCACATTTTTGCTTCTGGCATGTAAAGTTCAAGTGTGCTGCCTTGTTAAAACATTTTTTCCTTATTTTAAAGAATTCTTTTACCCCCTCAGCCACTGACTGACATGGCTTCACTTACAAAAGTTAAAATGTAGTAAAAACCTTGTAGATTTTCACCTCAAGGAAGGCGTTTTTACTGGTTGTATTTCAATGAGACGTTAAAAAACATGCTTGTGTGCATTTTTTAAATTGCTGTCATTTCTCTCTGCACAACAGGCAGCAAAAGCTGATGCTGCAGAGGTTGATATTGTACTTTTTAACACGAGACTGACAGAAAAATGGTCAGTTCTCTTGTTGCTCATGTTTAAATCCACACCCATAAGCTGTGATTCAGCAAATTCCCAGAGTAACACTGGTTTGAAACCCGGGTTCCTCCTTGTCCTGTCCTGCCGGGGGTGGATTTCCTCTTGAGAAGCCAATGAACAAAAGCTTATTTATTTCTGGACGTGGTGAAGGGGAAACTTGCTCCAGCATCTCTCCACCTCTTCCTGCAGAGTGCTAGCTCTCTTTTGCACTGATCAGGTCATGAATGAAAATGGAAGTGAGTAGCAGCAGAGCTGGGGTATAAAAACTGTTTCAAACGGTGCTCCCTGGCTCTGTTCTACACTTCATAAATAATAGCTCTCACCTCATTTTAGCTACGAAGACAAGCAAAAGCAAGCTGCCTGTGTCTTTCTTCAGCAAACCTAAGTGCTCTCTCAGAGAGGCAGGACTGAGCACTCTTATTAACTGACATTATCGAGGAAATTCGCTTGCTTGCTTCTTTTGGCTGCAATTTTTGTGCTACAGTTGTGGCAGCATCTTGATGGGGAAGCTGATCTCTAAAGACCGGCGCAAAAGAGATGCTCGAGTTGTCATGCTGGGGCTCGACTTGGCTGGCAAATCCACCCTTCTGTACAAACTCAAGAGCGGCCAGGCTGTGGAGACCTGCCCAACGGTTGGCTTCAACGTGGAGTCTCTGCAGACACCCTGTGGTGTATCCTTCACCCTCTGGGACATTGGCGGACAAGACAGCCTGCGGGCAAGCTGGCCTGACTACCTGGAGGACACCAACACCCTCATCTTCGTGCTCGACAGCACAGACACAGCGCGGCTGCCTGAGGCGGCGGCAGTGCTGGAGGATGCCCTGAGCCACCCCAGCATGGCTGGCATCCCCGTCCTCCTGCTGGCCAACAAGCAGGATGTGCCGGGAGTGCTGGCTCCGGCCGAGCTGGAGGAGAAGCTGTGCTGGGGGCAGCTGGCCAGGCGCCGCTGGGTGCTCCAGGGATGCAGTGCCCACACTGGGCAGGGCCTGCAGGAAGTCCTGACCATCCTGGGATTGCTGCTGCGGGGTCTGGGGCAGAGCTTACCGTCCCAAGAGCAGCCCTTCACAGGGCCAGTGGGGAGCAGGCAAGCTCCAGAGCAAATCTGAACCTCGGAACCATCTTTCCCAATCATGGAGGATCCCAGCCGCTGGATACCCCCTAACCTGAGCAGATCTGCAGCTGGTACACACCATGGAACGCCCAGCCACTCACCACTGAAACCCACCAAGACAACCTCTGAGCAGAACTCCCATCATGGAGCATTCTTGGCCCCGTCGCTTGGACTCTCATCACCGGCTGCAGTTTGTCTGCTTTTGCCAGGCTCTGTTCATCCACTGTGTGCATGTCCAGTGCTTCAGTGGGGATGCTTTTTGTCAGATTGATATAAACTATAACAGAGATGTGCACAACAGACAGAAGAAGTTTTATTCTTTCTGTGGCTCCCAGCCCAGATGCAGATATCCTGATGGGGTGATCCCCACAGGGGGGTGTTTGAATGTGTCCCACGCTGCTTCTGTCTTTGCTTGAATCACATGTTCATTGGTGGAAAAGCAAACAGCCTCTAAAAGAAATGGCTAAATGGGAGCAGCAGAAGCGCAGGACTTGAAATGTTAAGCTAATTGATGTTAGTGCAGCATCTGCAGGTATAAACTTCAAGGCATGGAAGCAAGTAAGGATTTGATGGTGTAATGCGGTTTGAGGATGTGTATGTAATTTCTGCGTTTCTTGTTCTGGGTCTTTCTTTTCTACTCGCTACTTTTATCCAAACCGATTTAATGAAAATGGTACCTCATCTTCCTTGTATTTTATTTAAATATGAAGAAATTAAACCTGACTTCCAGATGTTGGAAACACATCTGCATGGCCCATCAACCTTTAAATATCCTCATGGTGGTCTGAACAGCCAAGATGAAATCCCATCTCTCAGACTTTTTGAACTGGACAAGACCACTCTACATGCAATGACTGATAACCATGGGCATTTATGGGCACAGGCAGGTTGGCAACCAAAGGGACCTCCACACGCAGCTGCATCAGGGTAGCTGAAATGCCCCTGGCAGCTCACAGTGGGGCTAGGTGGGTCCCTTACTGCAGTAGTGGTCTTTGTCCAACCCTGCTCAGCCTGCATAGAATACGCGCCTGAGGCCTCCCTGTACCCAAAATGCTGGTTTTCATTTTTTAATTAAGAAATGTCACAGTATTCCCTACTTCATTATGAAATGAATGGAAGGGGGGGGGGGGGGGAAGACGAGAAAGGACACAACGTTTTCAGACAGCAGAAGTCATCTTCTTTCAAGGAAGAACATATTCAACCTAGAAACACCAAGGAGAAATACACACAAAATCTTCTGTTCTTACCAGAGCATTCTACAGTTGTTAAGGAGTTAATCACCCAGCTGTTACTGCTGCTGTTATTAGCCTCATTTTGTAGAAGGCAGCAGCTGGAATAAGAGAGCTTAAATGGTCATGAAGAAATAGAATCTGACATTTATAGGATGATCTCAATAAAAGTAATCCTTTCCAATGGAAAAAGTCTTGGGTTTTTTTTTAACTGTATTAATGTAGAACTAGTATATGCTATAAAATAGTGCTCCTATATTGATCTGGCCAAAGTGATCATGGTTATGAGTATACTTAGCACTGAATCATATAATTCATTATATGACAAACCTGTGTGCATGCTAAGGACAAAATCACGTCTTTAAATCTTTGCAGTTAACATCAGCAGGTTGATCTGCCTTTGGCTTGCTGGAGGTGCTCATTTGTAACGCACAAGTCTCCAACGCACATGTTGAGCATTTGACTGTCAGAGCCAGACCAAGCAGTTTTTGTGAGACAAACCAAGTGGTAATACCTATACATAGATGAACAAACTCAGGTCATCTGTGCAGCCTGGTTGCTGGTACATGAAAAAGCCACATCTTCTTGGTGGCCCATCTGGCTATTTTGAACACCAGTCCCAGAGGCACAAGCCAAAATACTCTTTGTGTTGCATTGCCATGCCAAAAAGAAATCTTGCTGAATTCATGGTATTTTGGTCTTGTGTCTCACTGGTACAAGGCAGAGTATTGTGCATTAGCATGGGGGATCAGCAATAGTTTAAACTCAGACTGAGTTGTCCTGATGATGTTTTACTCTTAATGAGGTTTGACCATTTGACTCTACAGGACTGTCTGATGGTGATTTAAAAAGGCACTGAAGCCTTCCCATTATCCCATGAGTGTTTTTTAAGCCCTTTAAAGAGAAAAAATAGGGCCTTCTAGCAGCTAATAGAGGTAACCACCAGTCTTTGGTAGACACCACCAATTAAAAATCAAAATAACGAGGTAGGAGGTGGGGAAGAAGGGGTTGTTCTTGGCACTGGAACCCTGAATGCCTGAAACTGATGAAGGAACATCCTGGTTACTGAAAATGGTCACTTCCCCTGAAACAGTAATTTGGCAAAATACGCCATCTCATGGGGCGTCATGTGATTTACCATCCTTGTTTTCTGGAATGAGGCTTTTCTGGACACCCGGTCTCATTACTCAGTTCATTTATGCCATTGTTGGAGACTGTCAAAACGATGATGGGTCATAATATCTGAAACAGCAACGCAGAGTTTATTTCTAATTATTTTCTTTTTTCTCCTGCGTTGAAAGCATGTTAAAACAAGTCAATCTAATGAGCCCTGCACTGCTCTAATCAACAGCTTGTGGGACGCTCTGCAGCAGTACTTAAATGCTTCAGTTTCAAATACCGCTGCCTGGTTCAAAGGGAGCAGCATGGAGATTTGCAGGAAGAAGCCATCTCTGGGGAGGGACGTTTGTTACCCCTTTTTCCTGGTAATTCTGCAGGAGAACCTCTGCCACACAGAGCAGTATTAATCCCTTAAACATCTGTGCTTACAGACCCCAGCCAGGAGGGCACCCTTAGACTTACAGTCTCCATCTTCCATGTGATAGATGTCATAGCTTCTGCGCTAGTTTCCAAAATAACACAGTTTCTCTCTTAGTAGCAGGAAAAGAAAAATCCTTCAGAGACTTCCTTGTTTCAGGTTCCACACAAATTTGAAGCATCCTTTGGGTTATTGGCCCCAGAACCCACTCTGGTTGCTCAGGATCTCCCTTTAGTGGCTTTTCTGGATGCTAACTACATCCACTTGCTATCCCTGATGTTGGCTGTTTCAAAGCCAAAGGGAGACCTTTAGAAAAGCAGCCTGCTTCTCTTTTATTTCCTTCTATTTTTCCTTCTGTTTTTTGTTCTTTTGGCCCCACCACCCCAGCAACAAGTATTTGCTTGGGAATAGTTTCACTGCTGTTTCCCCCCCACCCCCTTGTTGTAACTGACATCCCACCTCCAGACTCTGCTAGTAGCTTCCTACAGCTGCATCAGCTCTCTTTAATGGAGCTGGTCAGTTTTTAGTGTTAATGTGGTCTGCTTTTCTGTGATCATGAACCTGGTGGCTATGAGCTAAATGTATTGGCAAAATGGCCAGCTCCCAAGATAGCAAGGTCTGGAAAAAACATCTGGTCCAAAGCCCTGCTTAAATCAGGTTACCTGATTTAAGTGCCTGGTGCAGCGGTCTTCAATGTCTCCAAGGACAGAGGCTCAACAACCCAACACTTTCAGAGGCACTTTGGTATATATTAACCTTTACAGTAACATAACTGGAATCCATAACTGCATTACTCTTTCCAGCCATCACTCCACTGAGAAGAGCCATACTGGAAAGTATCTGCCTTTCTTTGGAGCTCTCAGAGCAGTCTCCATTGCCCAGGCCCATCAGCTCCTCTAGTCCTGGGACCTCCCATCCTTCTTCTGTGTTGTGGGGATCACTGCAGTGGGAGCTGCCGTTGTGTCCTGCTGCCTCTTTGAAGGAAGACACTTCAGCCATCTTTCACACTGTTTATGGACACATACAACCCCAGACTGGCTTGGGTTGGGAGGCACCTTAAAGCTCATCCAGTTCTCAACCCCCTGCCATGGGCAGGGACACCACACACTAGACCAGGTTGCTCCAAGCCCTGTCCAGCTCGGCCTCGAACATTGCCAGGAACGGGGCAGCTGCAGCTTCTCCTGTGAAAGGGCATAGCTAATTACCCACTGATTTACTAGCCTTTCTGAGGAGCTGCTTTTCAAAGCAGCTTCAACAAACCCTTGTCATGACTATAAAGCCAGCACAGATTTCTGTTTGAATTTTTGGCAAGAAGTTTTCCATTTGCTCCCAGAGAGAAGGAGACAGCAAGCTGGAAAAAAACCCAACAAAACAACAACCAGTGTTAAAACCAGCACAGGAAGGACAATTCACCTCTTCCCCTTCCCTTCACCAGTACAGGAAGGATGATTCACCTTTCCCCTCTTCACAACTTCCGTGTTTTAGCTATTCTATGACACGAAGCGGTTTCTCTTTGCACATTAGCTGATTTCTGCTCTTGGCACCATTTCTTTGTTCGTGGATGGACCTACCTGCCACCTGACCTTCACTTACTGATGGAGCTTCTCTGATGGGTTTCACCGTGGTCTTGCAGAGGGGTCTGAGATCAGAGGGGAGCCACTTGATGCCAGGGCTGCAGGGCGAAGGCACAAATGGGTGACAGTGAGCTCTTTAAAGAGGGAACAGGCAGTGAGAGTGAGCTGTGACCTGCTGTAATGCTGGGAAAAGAGTGCTAGGGCAGCAGACAGAGACCTGGGAAACAGCTGTGGAAGAAAGGGCAATAAGAACTTAAAGAAAAACCCTAAGAAGTGCTCTCTTTTCAAACACAACATGAAAAAGATTGAAAATACAAACCTTTAGTTAGGGGTCAGGCTGTACAATGCAGTGGAATGTCTTAATTATCGCTTTAGTGCACCTAACAGCTGTAAATTAATTTCCTCCTCTTAGAGAAACCCTGAAATACCACCTATAACATGTAACTCACTAAGAAAAAACAAGGAGCAAAGCCACATGTGACACCACATCTTAAATAACATTATTAGTGTTGTCAAATGGTATTAAAAACCAGTCATGTGATTATGACTATGACAAATGATGAACTGTTTGAGACACTGCACCCTTCCAAAGGTCAATTAACCGGCCTTCATCTAAACTTTCCAACACTTGATTTTCTCATGGTGCACTTGCTTGACTTACGCCCCGGAAGTATTGTTAAAAACACCAGGTGAAGGCTGATGTCTGGGCGAGGACCTCAGCGATGTGTGTGTGGCTGGGAGCATGTCATCCCCACACCTCGTACTTCACACAAAAGGGAAGAAGAAAGCTAAATCAGCCAACTGCTGTGAAAGGTGACGCCAGCCTGATGGTTCGTTGGAACCATCTCTAAGGTCCCAGCTAACCCAAACCATTCTGTGGTTCTATGATATCAGCCTAAATTTAACAGAAGAAAGATTTGCCTTAAAGATAGGAGAGAAATTTGAAAATGTGAATCCTACAGGTTTAGAAATGGAAGTTTGTTAAACTCTATGATTCTTCTTGATGGAACCTGGGGACTGCTTCTCATGTTACAGGTGTTCCTCAGAGCCCTTGAGCCTATCAGTTTTTGGCTCTTAACCTCAACCCCAATCACCTAAACAAGGAGAAACGCTGTAAGCGTCGAAGTGTTAACACTGAGGACTTGGGGGCTCTTTTATTCTCCCCTCTCAGAAACCATCAGAAGAACCGGTTGCTGTACTGCATCAATGTCAGTGGTCCTTCCAAGCTAAGTTTGTGTGAGAGCTAAACATGGCTGCAGAGAGGCAAAAGTTCCTCGCTGGGCAGGTTTCACTGCCAGCTGCATTGGGCTGACATCCCAGGTCAGGCTATTCACCTCTGTTACACCCGAGAAACTTAGTGTGTGCGTAACTTCCTCCTGACTT